TCCAACGGTGAGGTTCGACGGCGATGCTTGAACATTGACAAGCTTTCAAAAATGCTACAACGCCGGCGCCTTCAGTGGTTTGGCCATATGCTCCGAAGACCAGACACTCAACTCTCGTGACAGGCTGTAGCCCCCGCACCATGCCGTGGATGGCGTTGCAGACTCGGTGGTCAATTGAAGACCTGGAGTAGTACGATCAAGGCGGATTTGGAATTACTGGGTCTTCAATCCGTATATGGAATTCGCAACTGGAACCAGAACTGGGTTTCGCACTGCGTCAACCTTGCTACCGATCGTCACACATGGACCGCCATCATAAGAGACATCCAAGAAGTTGATTTATCCTCCCGCAGGAGTTAGTCGATCAAAGTAAAAAGTAAAGTGAGTATTCGTGCTGAACGCTATTAAAATCCCGTGCTGCTGAAGTCATGTTTTCTCTCGCGTGTTTTTGGGAGAGATCGATAGCCGACTGTGCGTCCTGTGCTTCACTTAGTTAGCTCCCGTTCCTAGAACTATCATTTGCTCACGGACTTAGTGTTAATTCGCTGTTTTCGTTTCCCGAGTGCTATTATTGTTACTGTGCTATATCTTGTGTTCTTTGCACTTGTGGTTTTTTCTGTGTCATAGTGCTGTGCGACCTAATAGCAGGCAATGGATATACGCGGCGCAAAACACAACAGTTTGACGACATAACAAACATTTCCGCTTCACTGTCCATTCAAAACTTGGCAACCTACAGCTATTTGGTCACAAAAACTCTACGAATGACCTAAATTTGTAAAACGTAAAGGCTTGCAGTTCAACATAAACTTTGGATTTTGTCGACAAAGTGACATCGGTGATACTTTATGGTCTACACGATGGAGCTCCGACTTGGCCTACCCCTACAACTGCTTATTTTCGTTTTCATACTTCAACCTGAATAATGATCGTTAAAATGCACTAATGACAGGTAAATCTCTGTGTGGTTAGCTCCTTCTCTCTGCCTCATTCAGCCAACGGTTGAACCGTTAGCGTTTTCAAGAAAAAAACAAACTCCCAATCTATTGGGACATTCATCCTTGCTCTGCAGCTTGCAGTGTAATCTAATTTTTTTCAGTAATCGGACTATTCTGCATTGCCCCAAATTGGAATAAGCCTAATCTAATGTATGTGGAGGCCAAGTTGGTAGCCACCTTGATCTGCCCATTATTGTGCAGTTGATGGAAATATTTTAATTTACGGCGACTTCAATCTAAGTGGTGAAGAATACGGACATTTCGGTGGCCGCGTTTGGTAGCCTGATCTTTATGTGGACTAAGATGTATGTTTTTTGTCTGTGGTTTAACCGCTTTTTCTGTATTTTAAGCAGAATATAGCGGAACTTGATTTGATTAATTTACTTGTTGTCTGCGATTGGTAGACGTTTTATGCAACAATATCACGCGATTTACCACTAAGGGCTAAGTAACCGTCTTCTTTGATCTTCAATTTTATGTGTATTACATTCCTGCAGACGTAGATCCTTACACTAATTTTCTGAATCCGGTCATCAATTTATTTGCTATCTTCAATTTTAATATCGAGGAGCCTTTTTACTTTTTTCACGAGCCCCTCTATCTATGCAAACAAGTAAACCATCGAGCCTAACTTGATAATTAACAATCCTCCAACCCAGGAATTATTCTTATTTTCCGAGCGATATTAGGTGGATTATCGGTAGTTATTAGGTATAGATATTTTGGTGTTTAACAGTTCAGAATGTGTCGTAAAGTTATAAGGCAGTATCATCTCAATCTATTAAGCACTTAAGTTTTGTAAACCTAGTTGTCTTTGGTCTAATCCTAGTGAATTTATTGGATGTGCAATTTTGATGATTTATGAAAAGAGTGAAACTTTGACCGATGATTATAAACTTCTAGAGTTAATTCCCACACTTGATTTTTATTTTTGAAGTTTCATTTACAAAACCAAATATTTTTTCAGAAAATGAAAACATTGATATTCTGTGATAAATTCAAACAGGAACAACGGAAAACACAGTACCAGAAGATACCTTTAAAATAGTCTTACCTGTACGAAATGTATAGCTTTTGTACTGAAAATCCCAGCATAAAAACTGTAAAACATATTTTATTATGATTAACCCAAAACGAGAAATTTAGTAGGTTTCATCGAAGCCAATATAGGTTTATAAGCAATTTCAATATTTTGGATACACAGAATTGGTTAGAATGGACAATCGATATTCTCAATCATTACGAGCTAGGCACGTGTCGGATGGATCCAGTCGTAATTATATTTTCGGCCGCTTTGGCAATGTTATATGTTTGTGGCCAAGTAAATCCACAGAATGATTTACTCTCTCAGTTTGTCAGCTATAATGTTTGTACAAATTCTGGTGTTCTTTTATTTCATCACAAGGTGCTAGAAAATCCTTTGTTTTATAAGCGAACTTCCACTTAGGAGAAGAAAAACTAATTAAATGTTTATGAAAGCGAGAATCGTTGTACTCAGAAAAAAATATATTTCACTTAATGGGAAAACAAGTTAATCCTCATGAAGTAAAGTCGTGTAATGAAGTGAATCACGGAGGAAAGCAAACACTACTTCACTACTCCTCTTTCGTAAATTATTAGGAAATAGAATTTAAGAAGTGAGACTTGACTCAAAATCAAACCGATTAGAAAAAGTGATGTTTGCCTTCTGTACATCGATATAATGAGTAATCCCTTATGAGTCACACATCACAAATTTTTATCTCTATTGCATTCGTCATTATGTACAATTTAACTTGTGGATGACTAAGAGCTTCCTTGTTGAGGGCCCTCGCTGTCTATGTGACAGTCTGAAGGCATCAACGACCAGTTATTATTTTGTTGGACATTTTCATTTGGAATTTGCCATCTGTTCCTCTTGCCACCATCTCGGTCATCACCCATCGCCCGCCCCATTATTTTCCCGGACATGATCGGTACTTCGTTGGATATTTCCTTATTACTTCCCTGAAATACACCGATAGGCGGAGGATTTTGCTGAGGTGCAGAGGCTACTTGATTGGGATCCACTTTGAATGCAATCGTGTATGGGCTATTTCTGATATGTTCCCCGAGATAGTAAACATTAACCGTATGTGGAACAATTACTGTTATGGGGAAGCTCAGTGTATAGGTGCCGTTTTTGTTGTCTTGCAAATAAGCGCAAACCTTCTGAGTCTGTTCGTCATCCTTTGTGACAGAATATGTGATGAATTTCCTAGCGGCTTCGCAATACTTCTTAGAAATCCTGAAATCCAGATGGAAAAGCCGTCCTAGCTTAATCTTCGGAAGTTTGCTCGGAAGGATTTCAGCGGATAGGTTGTCTGAAAGCCTTTCCAGGGTTCCAATGTCAGATTTTTGCATGTGTTCGAAATTCAGCTTTCCAACGAATTTCAGCGGGATGCAGTTGCCGACAAATTCATTCAGTGAGTCGATGTCTTGGTTAATTGAAAATATACAACTATGTACTTGATAGACCAGATCCGAATTCGAGCACTGACCCATTGATAAAACCTGAGCCGATGTTTCTCTTAGCTCCTTCAATTTATTCAGACCCATCTGAATCCTCGAGGCAGTTGATCTGAATTCCATTTGTATGTCTGACATATTCTTTTGAATTTCCTAAAAACGTCATTCACGTAAACTTCAAATGAAAATAGTTACCTGAGTAAAAAGAATTTTCCATTTTTCCAATTGTTTAGCTAGTGTAGTAAAATAAGCACTCAGTTCGTTGATGGTTTCATCGCAGGACCTTGAAGTTTCCCGCAATTCCTCCTCTTTTTTAATGATGGCTTCCTCGGCAAGCAGCGCTTTTTCATCGGCAAGACGAATGACTTCGCCTAAAGCTTTATGAACATAATGTTGTTCCGACATTTGATTAAATTGAAAATTCCAAAATGCTCATGTGAGAGTATGGTCTCCTATAGGAAATAATAGTCAGTTCCACGATATCTAAAATCTTTTTCCAAAGAACGCCTGGATTGTGTTGATGTACTAAAACAAATTCAGTTCAGGTTTCCAGGACGAAAACACGCTTTCGCTTAACGTGCGTCCAGATTCATACACTAGTCAAATTTGGACTACCTCTGATTTTACGCCGTGAAAATTATTTCTGTGTGGATTTCGATTGTTAGTGTACATTCTGTAGTTTTACAAATCTGCTACTGCCATGCGTGCAGTGCGTGGTACCATCCAAAGTGTAACAGATGAACCAAGAAGACTCTGGGAATATACGCGGAGAACCCATGCTTGAAATGGGTCTGCCCAAACTGCACGAAAAGATGTAAGCCTTTGACAACCCTGGAAAGTCAGGACTTGCAGCTGAGCCAGGAGCAGTCCAGTTTCTTGCGACAATGAGCTTGGGAGCAACACGATGCTGTGACAATTGTGCTATTTCTTTCACGTAGACGTGAGTGAGTGCGGTTCTGGAAAAGGAAAACGCATTTCTGATGGTTCCTCGGAGTGACAGTACACGTCTGAGGTTTTGTCAGGATCAAAGCAAAAGCTACCAACCGAAGGCTGCCAGCTACTCAGAGTGAGATGTGCTGGGTAGAAGAAATATGATCTAAAAGTGGTGATACTGGATTTGAGAAGCTTCAGTAAAATGTGTGATGAACAGTGAATGAAAGTGGAGATTTTGGAGTTGGAGAAATCAAAGTGAAGGATCTTAAGATAGAAGAACTTAATATAAAGGTCGGCGGACGGAGACGGACGAGCTATTAGCGACCTTAGGTACGGTGTCAGGTACAATCGAGAAACGTTGATGCCCAAGATGCGTCAAGCTTCAGCTTGAACTCGGCAATGGTTTTGACTCCACTACATCCTGAGGCAGTTTGTCCCATGTATTAATTAACCGGTGCGATAAAAGGTGGCTCTCAGGCGTTTGAGTGCCCGAGATTTTTTCAACTTCATGCTGTGCGCCCTTCTGTTGGGGATGTCATTCCGCTGGAGTAGGTGGGAGATTCCATGAGAGAAACCCGTCAAGGTAGGAAGTTTCAATCAGGTCCCCCGTCAGTCTTCTCTGTTCAAGTGAGAACAGGTTCATCCCCTTAATGCGTTCGGCATATGTCGCTCCCCGAAGGTGCAGAAACATGCGCGTGAACGTTCGCTGTACGTTTGGGTCATTCTTCAGCACTAGGGACCAAGTAGATTGGGACTAGTACGACAGGGTATCTGGACGTCACTGTGCGTTTCAACCTGAACAACGCTTTATTGACCGTACGTCTCGCGGCAAGATACTGAGAAGAGGAGTTAAAAGCGGAGTTCAGAGTGCCCTCTGGGTCCCTGATCTGTGACACTACTGCCATAGCCTCCCCGTCTCGAGTTCCCATGTAGCGTGGCCCTGCCCCCTGAGCACTCCCGGCTCGCACGACTTTACACCCATGACAGTTTCACTCTGTTCTGCTTCATCCTATCCGCTCCTATGCCGGTTTCCGTTCAACGATCTGCATGTCGCCTCTTGTTTTTTTACTCACTGCTTGTCGTGTTTCCAATCATCCCACCATTCATCCGTTATAAAAATTCTTGTTTTTCGTCTTACTTCCACCGACTTGCTCTCCTAGAGCATTCCTCCATCCTCAACCTTTTCTTATCTGATACCTTGTCCACTCTGTGTTCCATTTGTAATTATGTTCACTGCGACCTTCAATTTTTCCCCCTTTTGGGCCTCTCCTGTACGGAGGATTATGTTGTACATTTGATCACGCCTATACATGCCTCACGGGGCTCAGTGAAATATACACTTACCAATATTATCATTATTACTATGTAAGTCCCAGAGCTGCTGGCCAGCATACAGAGGTACGCCTGTGATGGACATTGTCTTGTCTTGGGTGATCTCAACGCGCCCCATGTTGATTGGGAAACTGACATCTGCTCTCAGTAGGCAGATTTGTTTTCCAGAGAACTTCTTTTCGCTGTCCGGGGCCTCTCGCTTGTTCAGCATGCTCATGTGCCCACGCCGATTGTTGGGGATTAAAGATCCATCCTTGGTCTGGTAGTTCCACCGAGGCAATTAGATACGACTAGGATTGACCTCCTTCCATCAATTGCATCTAGTCATCACTCCGTTCTCCGTATACACTGAAGGCGTGGCGTACCCCAAACGGTGCATAGGTAGGGAGTAATGAAAATGAGCTCAGCTGGATTGAACGCTGCAATACAAATGGAACACAAGGCGGATAAGGTCACTGGGGAAAATGTCGGGATGGAAGGTTGCTCCAATATATCAACTCAATGGAAATTTCAACAGAATATGAATCGGTATACCATATAAAAGGCGAATCGTTCGGACTTGCAGCGATCGAAGAGTAAAAGAAGGAGAGACGGTGGCGGATCGATAAAAGGAAAGAGATGGAAGAATCTACAGGAACGGATCCGATGAAACAACACACTAAAGCATTTGTTACAGTATAGGTATTCAATATAGAATGACACGGTTGACTTCTGTGAGGACACTTTTAATGGCTTCAGGGGCTTCGATCAGTAGTGGATGATTTGGGTTATTTAGCCTATTTAGGCGTCGGTCGCTTTTGTGTGGGACTGACTACACGCTAGACACCAAACCTTAAAACACCTTGTAGGTGAGGCAGGGGGTGCCTTCCTCAACCTGGTGTATAATACGGACGCATGTAGTCAAAGCGGTGGAGACAGCCGCGCCCGACAACCATTGTCGGAGGCAAATTGTCCACTGCGGGTGTAGACCCCAAGCCTTCGACAGGCCCAAGCCAAGCAAGTCTGTAACAAGAAGGAGAAACCGAGTCGCTTGGGATGATACCCAGCTGAAAAGGGGAAGAGTAGAAAGAGAAAGAGACAAACGAAAATTATAATCGAGGTGGTGCTACAGTCAAATTCACTTCTTGCGTTTTTGAATTGATGAAGTGTACTATAAACGAAGATGGATTGAGCCTTGCGGGACACAGACAATACAAAGTCAGATAGAATCCAATGATGAGTAGGAGGAGTCGGAGTTGAATAAGTGACCTCTTTTGTTACGGAGATTCACCGAAATGGGGTCAGTTCCACTTCCCGAGCTTTGACACTCTCCAAGTGTACTTTATGTTCGACGATATAAGATAAAGTGTGAACACAACTGCCGCATCAGTTTATGTCACAGATCGCGAAGAGGCTATTAGTGCTTGCGGGTTTTTGCACTGGAGGAGTGTACTATAAATGATGGTGGATTAAGCCAAATAGGATACTGGTAATACACAGACAGTTAAAGTTCACTGACGATAAGGAGGGGTAGGAGTTAAATAGTTAACATCCTTTGTTACATAGATTCATGGAAAAGAAAAGTGAAAGCGAGATTATAATATTTTCGAATGTGGAATAACAGGTTACAATACTTGTAAGAGTATTTACCATGATGGTTTTCTTTCCACAGATCCAGCTTTGAAGCTGAATCCGTGTGCTGATAGTAAATCGGTTGATACAAGAGGCTGAAAACAGCGAAACTTTAGAAATCCATTTTGGCTCTTTCTACGTAAGTTTGCGGTAAGAAGATAGACAAAGAGCTGCTGTTTAATATTCTTTTACATTATTCTGGAGATAATGGGTAAGCGGTTGATGGGACGGTAGTTGGTAGGATCCTGTAAGGGCCCGTTTTTTTAGTGGGATAATGGTAGATTGTTTCCATTGATATGGTACAGTGCCACCAAACAGAGGCAGGGTAAATAGTTTTAATATCAGGTCCCCAAGATGTATATTACTTGGGGGTAGTTCACCAGGTTCAGGTTGAGAGGAAGGCTTAGTTACATTGAGAAAGAAAGCTATGTCTTTGCTGGTAAAGCAAATGACATTTAATGATTTAGTTGTGAACGATGGTATGCTAGTGGTTGTGAGAATTAAATCTTTAATGAACGAGGAAGTAAAGACGGAAATTAGGGCTTCACAGGTTTCGTGTGGGGAGGTGAGGGCAACGTTTCCAGGAAGGTTGAGGTAGAAATAGAGTGACTGCTGACTTTATTTCTCGTCTTATTCACTTTGGATGTTTTCCAAGCTGGGTTGGAGTGGTTTAAAGCCTTAAGCTCCTGATTTCTAAGCAAAGATTTCGTTTTTACTTGTATTAGTCGTGACAGAGAATGCAACTACATGAAGAGGATAAAGTCATGGATCGTTCGGTAGAGCCCGTTTATTTTCTGGAAATTTTGACATAGTCAATCCAATTATGAGGGAGGGCGACGGGTGGGTATAGTATGAATGATTAGTGAGTTGAGGCAGCTGGAAACATTCTGGTAAAATAAACCTGCAGCAGATTGTGGGTTGGTGGAGAGAAAGATATCAGTCTGATCTTGGGAGCGAATCAAATAGGTAATGAAGATCAATCGGTACTAAAAGGAGAGGCATTTGCTAAAGCAGCAACAAGGGTTTGGGTCGGCTCTAGTAAAAAGGCACATTGTACCATTTTGTGGTTACTGCCTGGGAAGTGGTTCAGAACACATATCTGAGAAACCGTTAGACATTTTGTAAAAACTAAGTCCAGAACATGGTTTTCTCTGGTAGGGGATTCCACATGCTGCGTCCAGCCACCAGCATTTAAACTAAAAAGGAAAGGAAGGTATTTGTGATTTGCTGTCAAGGAGGACCAGAATATACTAGGGGCGTTAAAATATCCTGCTCCAAGTATAGATCCAGGTGAGAGGTGTGAAAATGGTTGAAGGATTCAGATATATGTGAAAAGTCGGAGGAGTTTGAAGGGAGACGACACATAGAGCCGAGCAATAACGTTAGATTATGTTATGTGACTGTGAGTCATAGTGATTCCTGGACTTTATCAAGGATGGGATCGTTCAGTGGATTTGCTTGTATTTGAGCTTTCACATATACTGGGCATCCACGACCGGTGCGGTGCTTACAGTATTTTTTATTAAAGA